TGTTAAGGCAAATTCAAATTCATTCTAAGAACTTAACAACTTCAAAGAATATTTTGTTTAAATTCTATTAAATCTATTGGGTTTTTCAAAATTCTCAGTAATAGTGCGGAGTCTGGAATGTTGCCTGGTAATGGTAAAAGGTTTGTTTCCTATTAGAGACTGATATCAATAATCGATTAAAAATAAGTGCTAAGTAGGTACATTTCATTTTAAATGTGCGTCTCTGTCTACCCCACCGGGAAAATAGTGTAGGTGCATACGTCACGCCAAACGCTATTTCGTTTTATATGTTCTTCATTTGGTTTTTTAAGGTGTGACTTTAGACTTTACTTTTATTTCACTTTTTGGCTTATACAAAAGTAAGCAGGAAATCCGGTTCAATTAATGAAATGATTGACAATGATAACTAGATAATGAAATAAACAATAACTCATTTATCCACACTGATTATCTAAACCTATATCTATCTACAGGAGTTGCAGCGGTTTTAGGAGGTTGTGATGTGCTTGTCCCAAAAAACCCTATTACATATCAATATTTTTTGGTTTTTCTGGCCAATCACTCATGAGATTATTGTATTTAGCTGTTTATCTTTATTACATCGCACTCTTCGATTTTTACTAAAGCTTCTAGATTACAATCTAGAATAACACGTGGTTACAACCACCTGTTGGTAATCTGTCATCTAGCAGTGATTATGAGGCTCGAAGTAATGTCGATACTATTCTAAAGTAAAGTAAAGTACCTAGAAACCGTCCCTTTTATCACAACAATGTACTACTACTTTTACCTAGATTTATCTGAGTCTCATAAAGGCATAATGAATAGAAGCAAATAGCAAGACTAAGTCTAACTGTCGTACTCAAAGACGTAAATAACTACTTAAACTATTCCTTAGTAATGATTTTGTTTCGAAAACAATCACTTAGTACTTGGTTAACCAGAAAATGTAGGGAACTACTATAATGACTGTAAGTACGACGGTAAGACTGAGCACGCAATTTGCAACATAAAAGAAGAGAGAATTAAAATACCTTGTTTTCAGTGGCGGATTAATCAAGTACTGGGCCTGTGGCAAATTATATTAGAGGACCGTTTCATACAGGGTGTCCCTAGAAGTAGGCATGAATCTTATTAACTGGGGCATGGGAGAGGTTATTCTAAAACTTGTTAAGTATTACTGCGATGTGTAAGTTTTACTAAAAGTAGATGAGATGAGTTTGATTACGCAGGACCCGTAGGAAAAACGTTTTTTAAGGCGGAAAATCATCGAATGACTTCTACCGCCTGGGTGACACGGGAGGGAGTGTCAGACTCTTACTGACTAAAAACCACCCCGTTCCTTCTCCTGCACTTCGAGCCGGAGCCTCGGCCATCGGCCCTATTGGGCCCTATCCGTGGTGGTCTGATGGCTCTTTGAGGTGCGCGCCCGTAATAAAAGCTACCTTTGATTCGTGGTTAGGTAATACAGCGCCGCTTCTAGTTTATAATAATAATTGTTTTATTGTACTCACCAGGTCAAGTCGCAGACTGAAGGAGACATGTTTGGTAGGGGGCGGCGCGGCGACGGGCGGCCCTTCGTAAAACGCGGCTTCCTCCAGACCGTAGTCCGACTCGCTCTCGGCCCATTCCAGCTTCATAGTGCTGGGACTGGAATGAAGAAAGTGACTTTTAATATAAAATAGTAGAATTACATAGAATAAGAAGGGACAAGAGGTAAGATGTTCGTTTGAATATTAAGAAACCTAAATGAAGCGACTATCATCAGTCTTCTATGAGTGATATTACATTTTGTTTTAAGTAGTATCCGTGCTTTAAAGGACTACAGTACAGTTCATAATATCTGGAAGATGAGTCTGAGTCTGACTGTCACGTAGCCTTCAATAACGCTATCTTACTTCGTTTGACAACGCATACATTACACATGGTAAATAACCTGAATTATATGTAATCCTACAGTTACTCTGAATCATTAAGCATTCGTAATACTTGAACAACTATCACTACGTAACAACAGCAAATTCAATTCTTAAAACAAATCGTAAATGTATAACAAATCTACATCTACAATACCTACGTATCAAGTAATAAATCTACAAAAGTAATAAAACAAAATCAATCCAAAGATCGATGCAACAAAAACTAATGTTATTTGCCTACAAATGTTCGCGTCTCGCTACCGTTCACCATAAACATTTATTTTTATGGCTCCCAGTTGATGCAAGAACCATCATTCATGTCCATTATAAGGCTTCTATAACCACAAGCAACATTACTATCGCCAATATTCAAGTATCAATATCTCTTATCCCGCTCACACGGTACTAAAGTGACAGAAATAGAGCATCCTTCAAATTAGTCGAAGCCTGTACGGTGACCAACCAGTTCCTCATATCGAGACTGGCTCTATTCGTCTTTTGTTTTTTGTGGTATCGAAGGGGTCCAGTCCAGGGATCTTGTAGTTTTTATTAAGTTGTGTGCCCGGTTAGAGGGAATAAAACGGTATTCTATCAAACAGCGTTGGTTAAGAATTGAAGTTTCTTTAAAAATGGGCTGTATGTTGTGTACATTAAGTTGCAATTAATTTATGTAAAGATTCATTATCATTATCTGATTGTTATGTATTATAAATAGCAACTATCTAAACGTAACAACTTAGATAATACACGAACTAATCATTTCGTTACATTTTAGCATAATAGCACTTTTTATATCAGGTGTGTACCAGTAAATAAACGATACAAATATTTATACACAAGCCCAAATAAAACTCTTACAACTAGAAACAAAACAACCAAAACCGATTACTACCACTCCAAAAAGCTCACATTATTTTTAGTATGACAACCAAGTTCTTTGAATTGCCAGAACATTTTATAATAGTAAATGTGTCGTCAGAAATCGGTCCGTCTGAAGCCGGTACGTTGCCGTTACGGCTAATATCCGCCGGATACGGCAGGATCTGACACCGTACGACAATATTGTCGTGTAATTGAACCGGCGTGTCGATTTGTTCATTTGAATACGGGGGTAGGAAGGGTGATGGATAACCCTCGAGCTTCCAATGGCCCCAAAGTTACGTGGAGCTGATTGAAGAGGATGCACACTCAATTGTTTGATGTTCGAAGTTAATTTATGAACTGGAATAGGGTGTAATGATTTCTTGAAGGGGTCTTACTGAGAGATTTGTCTTTTAAGTTGTTTTACTGCAGTTCTTCGTATGATTATTACTTTAAATAGGGTTACATCGTTCGATCACTAAGATTCAATTTTGAAATTGACAAAAATGTTGTTGTGTCCAAAATAGTGCGTTGTATTTTTTATATCAATGAGATTAGTAAGATAGGTAACTGGCAAAGTAAAACTGTCAGTATAAAACATGTCCCTACCCATTCTAGAAATAACATTAGACATACATGTAAATAAGACCTAATTACTTGTACGGTTAAGTACATATTCTATTATTAAAGATGAACTCATAAACTAAAACGTACCAATCAAGATTAACAGTTTTCCTCAAAAGGAAGATACTTGAACACAACACAGCAAACGCTTACACCTAACAATACTTCAGAAACAGACAGTTATTGGGCCACTTTCTTCACTAATAACACAAAATCAAGTCAATTTAGACCAATTTTTAGCCAAAACTTGAATTAAAGTATTACGTAGCACTATGAATAACTGAAAAACGACTAACAAACTCCGCGAATATCGTATGACCGCCCGAAATGACAGTGTTCTGCTATCTAATCACGGACAGATAAAATTATCAGTACGTAATAACACAAATAGCGCATAATATGTACTAGAGATAGGTACACACTATAGGTAGGCTCTTTGTAACTAACTAGTAATCATAATATATTTTACTTTCGTCATTATGGTTTTTGTGGGGTGATGAAATGACCAAAATCGAAAAGAATCTTTGTGTAGAAATGCAAACAACAATTATTATTGTGTAATATCTACTTTTAACCAGCAGGGGCTGTAATTGTCAATTCGAACTTACGAAGTGAGCTCGATCGCATTCTCGCCCGTCATTGGTCGAAATTATTCTCAGAACCAATGACATGGCGGATCGCGATCGAGTTAACTTTGATCTTTTGAATTAAAAGTAGAATAGCTTAGCAGTTATATTATGATTATGATATAACTGCTATAATGGAGTATATAAGTTTTATACGATTTCCGTAGTAGTTTGCTATTATCCATTGATGCTACTTCTTCCTACTTGAAACACAAGGCCACAAAACTTATTTGAATTATAATGATTAATATCCGGCCTAGGAAACCAGAGCCTGGAGACACAAGATTTGAAATTAGGATCTGTCTGACTACTCTCAGATCGCGTGATCGACTAATCAGATGATTATCTACCTGACCATTGAACAAAGTCATTCCTACTACATTTCAATTAAAATTCAAATAGGTATATTTTTTGGAATAAGTCAGCCTGGAATTTATGATGGTGGTTTAGAAATTTAAGGATTGTTGGGGATTCGGGGACTGGGGATATTGGTAATTGGGCCTCCGGTAACCTCTCTCACAAGACGAAACACAACGCAAGCGTTGTTTCACGTCGGTTTTCTGTAAGACCGTGGTATCACTCTGGTCGTGCCGGCCCATTCTTGCCGAAGCATGGGACTTACACTTAAAATTGCAAATAGTGTATTTATGTTACCAATTTTAAGAATGCTGCGTTCAAATATTTTGAAAGGAAACATTAAAGTAAACCTGCTTTCACTTAACATTCGTTAGTTCTGTCTTTTCAGTTATTTAATACTTGTGGCATTTTTGATAAAATATCTCTTTCCTGTGTCCTTTGTTCATTAAGTACTTCGTGTTGGTGTAATGACTAACCTACTTTGTATAATGAGAAAAAAATATATCAAGTCACAATAATCTGTCGTATTGTTGTCAATATTGACAACAATTTATATATTGAGAATTGAAATTTATTTTTTGTTTTATTATACGAAATAGCGTGTTAAAATAAAATGTCTAAAATAGCGAAGAGTGCTATAAATTGGGTAGAACTAGAGAAACGAGTGCCACCAGAAGAGAAGGTTAAGTTTTTTGCTTTCAAAGCAAAATCGGATGCATACGTTCGACGGTAATAAAACTATCTTTTCTTTCCCAAAATAGTATCAATGATATCAACAATGTAACCATGATGATTATAGATATAAAACAATCGAAGTGCACATCTTATTTACAAAGATATTGGTAGTTGATCATAATGCTGGTTACCATCAATGCCCTTATTTCTACTACTTGCCTTAATTCCAGCATGCAGGCATCACCTCCAGAGCCTCCTAAAATAAACTGGGAAGAATATCAGAAACTAGTTCCAGTCCCAGGTCTCGTAGACAAGTTCAAGACGGAATACTCTTCATTCAAGGTCCCATATCCTCAAGATACTTTCTCCGCTGAGGTAGACAATGAATGGAAAAAGTTGGAACCTCAAATATTGAAGTACAGTAACAAAATGAAAGAACATGTTGCTAAGTACGATTTATATTTTGAAATCCACATTCTAAGCTTTAAAATATCGTTTGAAAACACTTTTATCATTTCACAGGGCACAAAAAGAAATTGCAGCAATTAACGCTCTTCCTAAATTTGAAGATATGACGATGGAAACGGTGCATGATATGTATCCAGAGATAGCACTGGATCCTGTGAATAAACCAACATTTTGGCCCCACACCGAAGACGAGCAACTGGACTATAAAGACCCAATGCAGAAAATTGACATCCCCAAGAAATAAATGCCTTCCCTCCGCTACCTCGCTCTGAATACAAAACAACAACTATTAACGTCTTCGTGCCACTTCGGTGGTTAAAATACATTATTTTTTCAATAGAAAATTTGTATTCTTTGCCTCCATTTTGCTATGTCCATTGATATTCAGTATATTCGAAGAAATATTTAACAGATTTACATAAATACGGAATGTATAAAATGTTTCGAATGGTTTTCTTGGTAATATTGTTCACATGCACGAATGCGTGGAGCAAAACGTTCCGGCGGGCCGGTGGACGAGCGTCGCTTCGCCTTAGGCCAACTGCAAATATCGCGTGACTTATTGTTTTTTGGTTAGGGTTACTGGACAGTCGATAATCGGGTCAATTACTGTCGACATACAGAGCAGCACCTGGCAAACTAGGGATGAACGTCCTCGTTTATTTACAAGCCAAGTTATCATCAAAGTGAAACCTCGAGGAATATTCCGGAATTGAATGGTTAGCCGTTGCATCTTTCTTGCAGTGGCAACCCTGTGTGTCGCATTAAAGGGCTGCACTCCGTCTAAATATAGTGTCGTGTTCAGGGTCGCCGCGGATACACCGGCCAACAAGTTGTGCGAGGCAAATTATGATTGATGATAGGTTTAGATTTCACCCAGACTTGTTTCACTTTAATTAACATCGGTAGAATTATTTATCCGTAACAGTATGCGGAGAACGAGAGCTATTTTAGGGTTGTGGTCATTAATCGTTTTGTTGAACTTCTGAATCGAAATAAAGTTATACGCAGATAAGTTTGATTTATAGTTTTGCTTTCACTTTGAGACATGATTTGTATTTTATGGACTTGAGACTCTGATTTAAAAGTCAATTGTCGTGAATTTTACAAATGATCAGTAACTACTAAAATCAGTACAAAAGCTGTGTTATTGAATGAAGCTCGCACATGTGTGGGTGCGCAAGCACAGTCGGTTGCATTTGACGCGCACTAACTGTTCCAGCCAGACGCCCGCGCCTCTTCCGAGAAAACTCGCTCTGTACGATTTCATTATAACCCGCGCTATAATAAGTTCGACGCCCAACTATATTGCAATTTGATAGCGAACCGATGGAACGAGTCCAGAGAATTTAATTAGCTCTTTTTTCTGTATCCACCGTTTGCATAAATTCTAACGATCAATTATTTCGTCAAAAACAATTGGGAAACATTTATTTAGTTCATTTAAAGTGTTCATAAAAGATCCTTAGTGACCTTTTCGTACCAAAAACCTGCAAAAATAATTTACTACTACATGTTAGTAAGTGCTAAATTCCTTTCCTACTACTGTAGTAGATAGATACTATCCACTGGCTAACAGGATACGCTACCGGCTACCCCTTTAAACATCCTCTATATGTTTTACAAAGTTGCTTACAGTGAACCACTCAATAATAGGAAACGAACTCTTTCATTGAATCAACAAACACTAAAGAGTTTCATGCAATCGTTTAAAAAGTTCGTCGTCTGTTGTTCTAAAATTAAAACTGTAACATCCCTTTCCGTTTCCTCAACGTTTTAGGACCGCCAACGATAATCGCAGATCAATCGACACTTGTAGAACTTCGGATATCCGTAAACGAGAAAATGAGGCATGCAAAGATCAGAGGAACAGGTCAATAAAAAGGTAAATTGGTATCGAGAAATGTCATTTATAGTGCACGATTCTAGGACGTGTCACGAACTTCTAACACATTGGTGCGTCTTCTTGTGATGCAGAAAATATATAAAATGTAGTATACATACTTTATAGATAAAGTGTCGAAAAAAAGGTTTGATTTGATTTTCCATTCGAGCAAAAAAAATTCTAGAGATTTTGATTTGTAAAAATTCTCATGGTATTGTTTGGTAAGGAAAAAAAGGTGTGCTATTTAAAATGTCCATCTTTACAAATATAAATCACTTACATAATTTCGTAAAAAAAGTAAAAAGGGGCGTAAAAGGCGTATTAGGATTCTACGACATGTCTAAAACATCTATCACATAGCTGAGCATCTCAAGTAATGCAGAAATATGTAAATCTAAACAAAAGCTCGCTCGCAGATCCTTATCAAGTCAAATCCATCATCACGTCGTCATCAAAGAACGTGGTTTGCTTGGAAACAGTACACAATGTAACACACAAGTTGAGACCTACATTCCTACATACAACTAAAGATTTTACGCGATATCCGGTAAAGTAATAACAGTATTTAGAATCGGGACTTTGTTTTCTAAAATGCTTTGTGGCGCGTTTTATATGTAAAGAGTTGGATGAACAATAGAAGTCTACATGAATAATCGGTGTTGTAAATTTTATGTACATTTTTTACGCGGTCTTGATTAGTAATTTGGTCTGAGAAATATCCTATCTTAAATATCCTACCTGAATAAATACGATACACATTACAACTATCCGAATGAATCACTCTAACAACGTTACGTTGGAAAAACTCGTTAAGTAAATCTGGTCATTATTTGGGTCCAGACAGACAGTAGAAGTATTAGATTTTCTCTTTCTTAATTCGTTCACAATGAGTGTTGGCCATATGCCGCGTGGGTGGATGTGGAAAGGGTGAGGAACGGCCACCTGTTACTGGTTCGCTATATTTAGTAACTCCTCGTCCCCCTTCCCCTTCAGCCATTCATAACTCGGTGACTAATGTGTGAAGCTGTATGTAAAATGCACTGCTTGCTCTAACTACGCAACTTCGCATTACACTCCATTGTTTACCCGTTTACCCAAAGCTTTTAGGACACCGTCATAACAGGAACCACTGTCAAATTCGTGTTCCGGCGAATATCCGGCGTTTAATTTGATCGTAAGTAGTTCATGTTTAGGGTATTACTGCGAGATTCTATTTACGTCAAACTAGAACTCTCTAGACAAGTGCATCATCAGTTTTTTGTTTCTATTAACATTAGTCAGAACAACACGTGTGGCTGTATAGATCATCATATCAAACTGCTTCATTTTGTCTCATTTCTTTAATGGATTTCCATCTTTATTGTTGTAGTGATAAAATCAAAAATGTATTAAATCATTTGACATATTGCAGCAGATTCATCTACTACCATCTGTGCAATAGACTTGGATATTAAAACATATTTTATGAATGAATATTTTTTTGTCGTTTGTAAGATATTGATGTATTTTGGAACTGTGATTTCATTTCATTGACTCTGACGTCTAATCATTATTTATGAGTGAAGTCTTAAATTATTTTGTAACGGTACTTTCCCAGAGAGATCTTCATTTTCATGCTGCGTGATATGATCACATGACTGGGTTCGGGAAAACCAATGATCAAAATTTCGGGATCTGATGACGTTGGTGAATCAAGGTTTGGATGTGAAGACTTTATATACCTACCCTTAAATCTATATACATATATAGGCTGCGATTTCAAAGACCTGTCTTCAGTAAGCGGACAGTGACCTGACAAGTGTTGCAAAGTAGCTGGATGCTGGTTGCTTTCAACTGACCGATTTGTCCATTTGTGAGTCATTGAGGAAAGTCTATGTTCAGCAGTAGACGTCGACTGCACTATCCTCAAATATATAAAAGTTGTAACAAAGCAAGTTCAGTTTCAGTTCGAAAGAAAAAGAACGAGACAAATACAAATTACACATCAGCTACTGAGCACAAAATTCGGCACACACACACACAACCAAATTGAGAAAGAACATTAAAACTATTATGTCAACATACTCCCAACATCGAACCTACCTCACATAACAAAAGTCTAATATATTTCTGTTCGTTATTGAACGTAGATTCAAATGAGAACCTTGGCCTACACGGTGCGATGTGACACCCACTTGTAATGCAACGCGAACGCACACAAAGAAAAGCCGCTGAATAAACATTTACACGATACTTAGCTGTTTGATACAGTGATCTTTAAAAGTAGGTAGTACTTAGATAGAGAATTATTTGCTTGTTAGTAAATGCTATTGTTTATACTAAATCCTTACGGTTTTCAAAACACGTAGGTCTGTGTCAACGGTGAAGGAAAACATCGTGAGGAAACCTGGGCTTATAATTTCTTATTATAAGTTTGAAATCGCCAAACCGCATTGAGCAAGTGTGGTGATTAATGTCAAATCTTCTCGTGTGAGAAGAGGCGTTTGTCAGCAGTGGCCACTTATAGGCTGTTGATGATGATGATGATGAGGTTTGTATTTGGTACTCAAAAACTACTAAAAGCTTTATGATGTGTTGTGACTAACAGATAGATACCTTAAAGTCAAAATAAGTATAACTTACAACTAAAAATTCGAATTATTAACTAGATTCACTATTCCAAGACTATATGTTAAACAGTAAACCAAAACCAAAAAGTTTATATCGGCCTAAAATTACATTAAAGACGCCGCGTATTTATAAAATGTACAAGACAAGCTCTGTGCTCTTATGAAGTAATTTAAAAGCATAGCAAGTGCTTCTCAGTTGGACTGTTAGATGATTCAAATAGCACCGATAAATAAATGCGTTTGATCCGTTTTGTTGCGCTTATTCCAAGTTAGATTTGAAAATAACTTCGTTTATGCGTAGGTTGGAAGAATGCGTCAAGTTTGAATAAATTGATGTAGTTAGCTACGGACGATTAGAGGTGAATAGTTTTTTAATGTTTTAGAGATTTTTAAGTAGTCTTTATTATCTGATATTTATTTTAAGGATTATTAAGAACCAGTATCTATTCATTACTTTTTTTTCAATTTGCTATATTACAAAGAAAAACAATTCAGGATATGCTAAACAAAGCCATTATAGGTTTCCACGGCTAGCTAGTGTATCTTTATAGAGGTTTTGCGAATGCAATGCACATAAAAGTAGAAAAAATAAGAAAACTCACAAAATATAAGGTTTAATGACCCACACACCCTGGAATTGCTTGTGGTAAATGGATTGAGTCCTAAATCTTTGTACAATTTTTTAAAATTCCTGCTCATGCTCATCCCTGCTTATGTCACGTTCTTTTTGCCGATTTAGGTTTTTTTTCT